TAGGCGCCCTTCAGCGTCACTTACATGACGCGATCCTACAGCATCATCTAACTGACGCTAAAGGAAAGCGTCAGTTAGAGGACGCGGTTAGGTTTAGGTGTGGGGTGGGGGTAGGGTACACGCGATCCTAGGGCGTCATCTAACTGACGCTAAAGGGCGCCTAAAGCGTCAGATATTGAAGCATGTCCAAATTCTTCCCAAGGCGTCAGTTGAGTGACGCCTTGGGGGTGAGAATGGGCTGATAGGAGGTAATGCATTTTTAAAACCATTAGATGAGCTGCAAACCAATGAATCAATAATTTAGACATTTCGTATGGCAAGCATCCACTCTCATTGGTTAAGACAAGCCTTAACAAAATGTTTTCCATTAGAGAGAACATGCACTCTAGAGTACTCTTTAGTGACAGATATTTTTAAAGGGCTAAGTGCTGATTGGGTTATACAACCTACAATATATATATATATATATATATATATATATATATATATATATGCAAAGCAGAGTTGGAGGATTATATTATATTATATGAATTTTATATTATATTATATTATATATTGTATTATATTCATTAATCCTCCAATGATACAGAGGCCTCAAGAGGAATGAGGTAACCATTAGGTAACCAATATCCATTAGGTTAGCACATTTAAACACAGGAATAAGTGCATTTACACTATTCTCTGTACAATTAGTCTGTTGGACTGAACAAGGTGTCGTGTAACATAACTCATCTGGAATGTCTGATGTATGCACTATGCAAGGACTTTCACGTCAACATCTTCAAAGAGGAAAGAATGTGATAGAAACTACTGCACAGACCCACAAATAAAATAAAATTCTCCACTGTTTCATACCTAGTGCATCACTTTATGCTCATAGATCAGTTCTGATGGCAACATTTATAATTTAAGATCTGCAGTCGTGGAAGTTCAGGATGGGAAAGTGGTGTTGCATTTTTCATTAAATTCAGAGAGACAGTGAAAGAAAATAGAAGACTTGTCAAAGACTTATGTCTGGAAATGGGTATTAATGCAGAAAAGCATGTGCTTTCGGGTCGCCAGTGTTCTACCTTCAGGACTCCTCTGCTCCTAACTTCCTTTGTTGAGCCGTGCATATAATGAATGATTCAGATGGAATTAGGACTATATCAACGGCGCTTTGAGTCAGATTGAGTTTGTTTCCGATTTTGGGAGGTAGCTTATGTGTTGTATTGACTAGCTGCAGCATACCATAAATGTCTGTATTTGTACCTTTATTAAGGGATCCGAGTAATAAAGCTACTGAGCCCTATTACTTGGGAGTTTGTGTTTCTTTTCTTATTTAAGTATTCTTTGTTTAAACGCCTATAACCCTGTCCATGCTTAAAAGTCACCAAATTGTGCAGGCAGATAAAAAAAAAAATCTCAAACTGACGTGCAAGTTTTCAATAAAAAGACATTCTTCTGAAAAATGTGAGATGAAGATTATATGAGAAATTCTGACAGTTAAAAATGAGCTAATATCAATTTTCCTACGCTATCTCACGACCAATTCGTACGAATTCATACGAGTGATTAAAAAGTGGCTAATACGACCTCACTCGTACGAATTCGTACGATTTGTCCAAACCCACGTGATGGGTAGGTTTAGGGGCGGGGTCAGGGGTAGGTAATTCGTACGAATTCATACGAATTGGCCAATTCGTAAAATATGTACGATTTAGCAAAAACGTACTAATTCGTACGAGTGAGGTCATACGAATTGTTACGAATTATCCACCTCATAAAATTCATACGAATTCTCGTGAGATCGGGTTGCTACAGATGCATTTATTGATTTTGAATCTATACACCTCAAGATAGATCATGATCATGAGCAACCACATGTTCATTCAAATGCATAACATGGCAAAATTCTCAAAATCTCATAAACTTCATGTGCACAGAGCTTGATCTGACCTCATTACACGACTGCAGCTCATTGTCACAATCTGGATCTATGAGCTGTGGAATGAGTTAAAGGGTTAGTTCACCCAAAAATGAAAATGATTTCATTAAAGGACAAGTTCGGTATTTTACGGGGAAAAAATCCCTGTTTCAAAATCGTTTCTGTTGAAATAGAATGGTTAAGATAGTTTTTTAGACAAATGCTGCTGTCCCGAAAATTTTCGGATTCTGTGGTAGCACCCCCACACCTCTACAATGGTATCATAGGTGCACATGAACAATTGTTACGACCCTGCGTTCTGCTTGCTCGCCTGCTGGTTCGCCTTGCTCGCCGCCTTCATAAAATGCATAAAACTTTAGTTTAAAAAGACGTGAAACTCACGTGAAACTCACCGAGTGGTCTGGGGTGTTAACTGATATGCTACACAAAAATCGCTGCAAAAGATCCTTTCCAACAGGTGTTTTACCATTCGTTGTAAAACTGTAGACGTATTTTTCCGAACGCCTCACAACAGTACATTCTTCCGTTGAGAGCGTGAATAATAGACACTCCAGCCCAGTTGGTGGCGATAATGCACCTTTGCCAATTGCAAGCAAACCACTTGGATAGTGTAGCCTACGATATCGTGACTGCATAAAACTACAGAAAGAATATAAACAACCCCATTTCTGTTTAATACCGTACATCACAGAACATACAACACAAGTCAATGGAGTTGTACAATAAGATAAAACCAGTTGGAAAGCATCTTTTGCAGCGATTTTGTGTGAGCATATCAGTGAACACCCCAGACCACATGGTGAGTTTCATGTCTTTGTAAACTAAAGTTGTATGCGTTTTATGAAGGATTGAAGGATATTTAGATGCTTCAAAACATTCTAACTAACCCACTGACGTCACATGGACTACTTTGATGATGTCTCTATTTCCTTTCTAGACAAGGACAGTACCACATTTTCAATGTAGGAACAGAAAACTCTCAGACTAAATCTAAAATAAACTGTGTTCCGAAGATGAAGGTTTTATGGGCTTGGAACAACATAAGGGTGAGTCGATCATTAATGACATAATTTTCATTTTTGGGTGAACACTTTAAATGCAGTTTGTTGTCGGGTAGGCTATTACTTTCTTACTATTACTATTATCATTTAGAATGTTAACATTTAGAATGTTATTACTTTCATTTAGATATCATATCATTTAGAATGTTAACATTTAGAATGTTAACATTTAGAATGTTATTTCTAAATGTTAATATTAACATTTAGAATGTTATTACTTTCTTATCACTGCTAAAGAACAAGGGATAGACAAAGTCATTCAGTATAGAATGCTATATTTCAGTTACACCTGCTCATGCGGAGATTTGACCACAATTCAGAGTGTGATGGCAACCAGGTTTTTTCCAAGTATAAAAAGGTTTGAAGATCCAAATTGAAAACACAAGTACAAAGATGATTGAAAACAATTGTTGTGGATTGTGAAAACAAGGAAATTCTGAAATCAACCTGTAGAGGTCAGATTTCCTTAATGGAGGTCCTAATAATTTCACGACTAAATTTACATATTTTCTTGCAGAAGTTATTTTAACCATTTTAAAATTGCATTTAGTTTTTTTATGGTACTTTTTACTACGGTCATGTGGAAGCTTAATAAGTATTTATGTAGCCTAATCTATCCATCTATCAATACGTATGTAAACTGGTGACCCAGGAAGTGGAGAATAGTTTACTGTGATAACAATCACCATGGTTCCCATGTGCTAATGCATTTAACCCCGGGTTGCTCCAGGGATGGGCAGTATCTGCAATAGCGAGACACAACGGATAAATGCTATATGACAATTAACATTTGACAAAAAATTCACCCTTATTTGGCGCTATGTAGCCATGTGATAATGTTGTAGTGTATTGTAGTGCATATGCTTGATATTGCCACAAACATTATATTATATAACTACATTCATCTAATTTTAGTTACAAAAAACTCTAGAGCCTGCTGTGCAACCTACAACCTTATGTGCACGATTCCCATGTCCCGGACACAAGGCTGTAATAACAGCGCCATCCAGTGTTGTGTTTTCTAGCTGCAGTCGCCAGAATGAAACTCCCTGTGCAAAGGCATGCCGTCATGGACAGCGTCAGCGTCACTCAAACACAAACTGTAGCCATACACCAGGGACACAGCTAACATTTTTATTGTTGCTATAGTGACCTTCCCTGCTTCAGCCAAACCACCTGAGACCAGTTCATATCAGTTTCATCAGGTCACTCAGAAAACGAATGAAGAAAATGTCCTGTGCAGTGTCATTTAAACGGCTGAACAATTATTATAATTTTATTGCATTTTTGAAATAATGACCCAATCACTTTCATGTAAATTAAGGCTTCGTGTGCTGTTAACCTCTGAGACAGAGGTCAACATGAACATTACCTTGTCCTGTCAAATTACACTATAATTTAAGCATTAATGAATATGTCGCTTTTATGTGTATTTTGTCAGCATTTTCAGCTTTCATGAAATAATGAAGTTCTATTATTATTTGACAGTTAAACTCCTCAAAGTTACACCATAGATGACACTTTCTATAAAAAGGGTTAAAAAACTGCTTCTTATTTCTACAAGTAAATAGTGAAGATTTATTTATTTTTCTGAGGATTGGGGTTTTGTGCAAATGCAGTTTATAAAATTATAAAGTTTACAAATGTTGAAGCTTTCATTTGGTAGCAATTTGTGTACAAAAGCAATGGGGTTGACATTAATATATTATTTTCAAAAATGTCCATGTTAAGGATTTAAAAGAAACTTTTTTTAATCATTTAAAATAATATGACAATGAAACATTTAGCTGAACTTTAGCTTTTGCTGAAGTTCGTTTAATAATGTATTTTTAGTGCATATTTTCATTTTGTTCACAAAAATTCGTCTCAGACTGACAGACCCTGAACTATTAAATGTTGACTTATTTTCTGTGTTAGAATAAAAATGACCACAAGAGGGCAGTTGAGCATCTGTTACTGAAGCACTTCACAACAAATACAGCCTATGACAAAATTCACAAGAATCACAGTGATTTGAAATATTTTCCATCTATGTGTTATAGATAGGTTTACATCAAATAAAGATTTAGATTGTCAGGAAGGTTTTGCAATCACTTGTGTCTCTGGCTGTCACCTGACCAGTTTAACAAAACTCTCAAATATGCATTACATACATGTGCAAATTCTAGTGCTATGACAGTCGATATTTAAATGTCAAAATTGTTACTGAACAAAAAAGATTTTAATCATTAAAGTAGCTGTTACCAGGCTCACTTGGGTGTGACATTCTGTTTTCGTTAACCAAAACATACACACTTGATGTGAATATACAAATGTAACTTTAATAACTTAGCCTATAACTTTGACATGTTTTTTTTTTTTTTTAATGGCAACAGTGGTTTCATTATGATGCTCTGGATAATGTAGACTATTTTACTTTCCAACTAGACTTTTAAAAAATGTTAGCTTTGCTTTCCATTAAATAAATTAAATGTCAATTCAATCAATGATAATCACTTTTTTAGAGCAATCAACATTAGATGCTTGTCAAATTAATCATGAAATCAATAACCAATACTCATATTACAGAAAAAAAAAGCAAATTCTCTGAAACATTTGTGACTAAATATGTCTGCATGAAGCAGTTTGATTGGGGTTTGTCGACATACACTCCACATCATGATTCCCCACCACCAGCGTTTTCTGAAAGGCCAAACATTCATTAATCTAGAAGTGTCAACATGAGAATCATATCAACTAATTGGTCATTCTACATAAAGCATCATTTATCAAGAAATAAAGACAAGGGGAAAAGAAAATTCATACTGTTAAGATATATTAGAGAAAAGGAGCAGACACTCTAATCGCCCCAGGACTCATAGTGACATATATTTCAACTTCTAAGAGGGTCAGTATCTAGCTTGACTTCTGTACATCAGTACAAAACGGGACCGTACACGTGCAGCTCTCCAAATCCTCTGGCCTGGATTTGAAAAGCACTAAAAGGGCACTTCAATTTCAAGACGACACAGTTTTCCTCTACTTCAGTATAGCTCTCCAGAGACAGCCATTCATATAGCACAAAGACTCACCTAACCCCTAAACCAAATTACAACAGCCTTGAAATGTAAAATGTCAACATTGCACCATTTAATCAGAAGCCTCGCTTCCCTTGCATTTCTTTTGATGTCTATATGGTTCCTAAAAAAAAAAAAAAAAAACAGAGGTCTGGCTGAATGCATTAGTGCATAATCATTATTGCAACTATCTCAAGTTCACACAAACATTTAGATCAGCAGCAGTTTCAATTACGACCAATAATGTAGAACATTTCTAAAATGATCACGACAGAACTGCCATTCAGAGAGTGCAAAGAAAAAGTGAAAATATACTGATGGGAAGTGAGATGCGGACATTATTATCTGAAGAAAAAAACAATTTGTTAGCTTGGCACTATAGGAAGCGCAACTAGGAAGTACTGTAAACTAAAAATAGCCAATTAGATGTTGTTATCCCGTAGTTAATAATATGTTTTTCAATAAACTGGATACTGACAGCATCATCCAACTCAAAACATGATGCGGTCACTTGACTGATGAGATTCATTTAGTGGTAAGCGCAAAAAGAAACAAGTCAACATGCATGGAACGTTTAGCCTCCACAGTATGAATATGCAAGTGTACTGCGCTCCTTGTTTCCTTCTGAGGGAACGCAAATGTTGAGGATTAAGTGGCTTTTATTTCAAGCAGCACAAAGCATACAGAACAAGAACTGAGCTCAGAGCATTCTGTTGCGTTTATGGGTTGGGGAGTCTGTGATGACGTCTGCGCACTGGACCGAGGTCCGCTTCCTGGTGCCCGCGCTGCCTAGGTGGAGGGCCATCTCCTCCGAAATGAAAGTGTTCAAGTCCACATCGTGCAGTCCATTCCGTCTGCGCCCTGCGTTTGAGCTGCCGCTGACGTGAGTCGGAGAGCCGGGAGTGCTTGAGCGGACACTGATGCCGGCCATTGCTCCGCTTAGACCTGGAAAAGAAAGATGAGATTATCATCTACTCACATGCACCTTTTCCACGTGTCAATCCCACATTTGCAACCCGTGATAATGATACGTTTTAAACATGTTGTGGATGTTATTTTAAAAATCCTCGAAATAATGGTAACAACTGTAGGTAATGTGAAGACAACTTCATGTTTCTAGTGTATAACTGTGATGCAATAATTGTAGAGGTATGACACACTGTGCTTGAAAATAAACCTTAAGGTCCTTTCAACCAGATATCTTACTCTAAAAATACTATGGAATGTACAGTCATGCAAACCTTGTACTTGAAACATGTGAGGGTCAATGGAGAAAATTGTATATGTCTGGCAGCCTACACGAAGATTTCTCAACTCGACAAAAACTTTTATTGATGAATAAAAAACATTTTTTATACATATGTATTCTAAAAAGAACAGAATTTATTCAAAATAGAAATCTTTTCTAACAATATATTTTTATTATCACTTTTTATCAATTTAACATCCTTGCTGAATAAAACTATTCATTTCTTTCAAAAAAAAAAAAAAAAACATTACTGACCCCAAACTTTTGAATGGCAGTGCATAGGCAGTGTATATTGCTACAAAAGATTCATATTTTAAATAAATTATGTTCTTTTTTAACTTTGTATTCATCAAAGAATCCTCAAAAAAAGTATCACAGGTTATAAAAAAAAATATTAAGCAGTGCAACTGTTTTTAACACTGATAATAAATCATCATATTAGAATGATTTCTGAAGAATCATGCGACACTGAAGACTGGAGTAATGGATGATGAAAATTCAGCTTTGCATTACAAACATTTAAGTATATTAAAAAATAAATGTATTATTTATTTTAAATTGTTATAATATTTAACAATATTTGATTGTTAATTTTGGATCAAATAAATGCAGGCTTGATAAATATAAGAGACGTATTTCAAAATCACTAAAAATAGTAACGTTTCCAAACTTTTGACCAGTACTGTGGTGGAGAAAAAGATATCAATAACCACCATATGTATTCAACAAAATGCAGTCACTAAATGTTGCGACATGTCATATGGTAATCATCATATAATGATCAGGCAGTATTATTTACCATGTAGTGCTATGGCCTCACAGAAGGGCTGTAAATCAGTCTCTACAGACGAAACGGAGTCCGATGAAGGCGGTCGGTTAGGAGAATGGACAGTCAGTTTGGGGGCAGCTCTAGAAGTCCTTGGTGGTGGCGCTTTACCACAAAGGAAACTTATCAAATCTTCCCTTCGTATAGTTCTTCTTCGCTTTTTGACCCAGGCCAAAACATCTTTATTACGTCGCTGATGACCAATCTGGATTCCTAAGTCAAAGCTTCTCTTATGTGCATCAACACTCTCTGTTGAACAGATTACATTAATTTATTTATGCAATTACAACAGGGAGGGGCACTAGATATGTGCAAACTCAAATCATTAATACCTTTATAAAGATTAGTCACTGCTGTTGCAGCGTTCTGAAACGGAGACCACAATGACAGTCCTTGCTGATGACAGACTCGATCTGTAAGACAGGAATAAATCAGGGGCGCTCATGTGACCTTAAAGACAAGAGAGATTACTCAAATAAATTAAGTCCAGAAAAGTATTCAGACAGGATTTCTATTGTTAACCTTTACACTGTAAGAGAATGGAAAATCGTGTTTTTCTAAATGTGTAGACAATACATGTCAAATTCAGCTGGTTTTGCAATGGATTAAACCATGTCCATGCTATTTTTAAAAAGACAATACGCCGATTTCACACAGCCGCCATTTTGAAATCGAAACCGAGGCTCCGGTGGGAAGAACCGAGGAAGTAAAGAAAAACAACAATGCCTTGGACTACCAACCTGAAGCTGCTGCCGCGATTTACACTATTGGATGTTAATATAAAATTTCCATTTTATACATTTGTTTAAGCAAAAGCTGCAATTAAAAGGATACTTTACATAAATAAAAGAATATTAAGGATTGACAGCGTAGGTCATCATTCACTCCCACTGTATGGAAAAGGATACAATGAAAATGAATGGTGGTACCTAACATTCTGTCTAACATAAACTTGAGTGTTCAAAAGAAAATCATCCAGTTTTTGAAAAACCTGAGAGTTAGTAGTAAATACTGAAAGAATATTAAAGGTCATATTTGTTTGTTTGTTTTCTAGAGGGATAAGGATAAATTTTAACTTTTTTCACAAATAATAAAAGTATTGTTTATAAACTGTTCAAAATATTATATAATTAAAATATTTGAAATATTATGAGTAATATATATTATACATATACACACACAAACTAAAATTACACTAAATATCCATTTTATATTGCGTTAATACCATAGCATTATTGTTTTTTTTTTTAAATAAACAAATAAAGCAAAAGATGCACTTATCAGTTCAGCAGATTATGAAAGAACGGTGGAAGCGAATGGTGACCGTTCTTGTCAGTACCTAACGTTTCTTTTTGTGTGTCACATTAAAAAATAATTTCATAAAGGTTCGTAACAACATAGCAGCTAGTAAATAACAAGAGTTTTCATTTTAGGGTGAACTAACTATCCCTTTAAGAGCGAGTTCAGATACTCCTCGTGTAATCCAGACAATGGCTGTGTGTCAAACCGTAGTGAGCACCAACCTGGAAAGGATAGAATATTACTATATTGGATGCTATGTTGCACAAAAGTAGGCAGTTGAGTGCACTGGTTTTGAAACACAGCCACAAAATGACACAAGCTAGCTCACTAACCGGCAGGGCTTTGCCAAGATGTGTGATTAATAAGACTATAAAACGTTAATGTGTTACGCATGAAAATCAGTTAACGTTATTCCTATACAGATAGTTTAGCCGAAAGGAACGAAAATCTCAAATTAAAGGGCGAATTAGCCGGCTTTCAGGCTAGCCGGTTAGCAATAGCAAGGCCAATATAATAACAACGAACAAACTGTCAAACACAGCCAGACCGGCGCGGCTAAAGCTAATTAGCATACACACGCTCAAAAACAAGCATAACACGCTGCTTTTGATGACGGTAGTGGCCAAATGATGCCGGTAAGTTATGCGTTTTTTTATCGAAATGTGTGGTTCGGTCGAAAACCAGCAAGTCTATGAGATTTGTCTAGACGAAAAAGGTATTTTAGTCGAGCTGCTGGAAGTCTGTGGGCCGCTGATAGGGTCTCTTTCTCTGCCCACAGACCTTTATAAAGTTGCGCCACCGCCGTAGCGGAATTCTGGAAGAGATGCCAGAGTTGTTCCTGGTTCTGGTCCACCGCCTCCTCATTCGGCTCTTCCCTTTCGGCCTCTGCCAGGCATTGGCGCTCCCATTTGGAGAACCAGTGTTCGGGTCCGTGTTCGTGGATCTCCGCTTCGCTCTCCTCCTTCTTCTCCTCCATGATGAATACTGAGAAACTTCGGTGAACTTCTGCTCGTTTTTTGTAATTTCTTGCTCTTGTGGGTTAATTCTAGTTCTTGAAATCACGCAGTACCCGATCAGTGTCGGTTAATATCCTTATTTCTGGATTTACGGGCCTGAATTAAAACGAAATGAAGTGAAATGTTTTATCTTTTGTGACGCCGAAATGTATTTACCCAGGACAGTAGCTGTCTACCCCCGGTTAAAGGATCGCTTTTGCCCTGCGCAGTTCCTCGATGTGGGCGGATCATATTTAAAACACGCCCATGTTTTGCGCATGCCCATCAAACATGAGAACCAACGGGTGGAGGCAGCTTACATCCAGCTCCCCAACTGGATATAGTGGGTGGAGCTTGAAGGTCCAGCCACACCCTAACATTAAATCGAATTGTGTTGAGCTCCACCCATTAGGTTCAGAGAGGGGGGCTAGACGTCATTTGGCTCTGCAGTGCCAGCGAGCAACACTTGAAAAGTATCACACTCTGACTGAAAGTGTATCGCCTATAGGCCTACTGTATGTCGTGCTACATGCTAACATTAAAACTTAAAACACGTATAGTTACGTTTATTAATACTTTTAGAAGATCTGAAAGACATTCATGTTAGAAGTCTGTAAATTAGGCCTAATTTACTTGATTAATGTCAAATAATTTATTTGACCCACACATGGATTCTTGAGGGTAAAGTTAATAATGCGAGTTTAGCTGCTCAGATATGCTTGTTGGGTGTGAGAATTTTGCTTAAACAACGATTTTAGAAATAATGCTTTGATTACATTTCTGAGCAAATGGGTGTCATTGTAAGTATTGGCTAAACCACTTCAGACCTGTTGGCAGAAAGTTTGGGGATGAAAAGCTCTCAGTGTAAAATCAATTGTAATTATAGTGCCACATCTATTCAAAATCTATTAAATGAATATTCAAAATGTGGCTATTTGAATAGCATTCCTGGTGCTAACAACGAAGTTATGGGTTTTGTTTAAATCCCACAAAACACCTATAAAATGTACCTTGAATGCAATGGAAGTTGCGTTGGATAAGCCAAATGCATAAATTAAAACCAGCCATAGCCTAATTATTCTCTTTGTACACTATGTAAAAAGGTTTCATGGCTGTTATATTACATCATTACAATGTCCATAAACAGGATGAAAGGACTGAAATTTATTATTGGAAATCCTAACATTACTATTAAAGGAAATCCCATCCTATTTGTGATATATAAACTTTGGAAAATATTTTAAAGGATTGTACAAATTCTTGTAAACAAATCACTAGCCTATCTAACCCATAAATTACAAATGTTGTTCATAATATTAAACAATACAATGCGGAGACCGCTGTCAAGTTCAATTCAACTGCTCCACACATTTCCACTCTTTTGTTTTTTAGATTGAGCTGTTAATTTCATTTAGTTTATAAAAAAATAATTTAAAAAAACTGTAATTAATGTGCTCACAGATGCAACATCTGTCAATTCTGTAATTAATTTACACTGATGTAGAAAATATATTAAATGAATGCAAGGACACTAAAGGGCTCCAGGGAACAATTGTAATAATGCACATGCAGTCACCCCAATTACTATGAGATTTTATTGTGGAATCAAGCAATTATTTCCTCTTGTAAACAAAAGGAGCTTTGTTGAGCATATGTTAATCGAAGAATCACAACGACACAAATTTGGTTTTGTCTAACATTATTTGGCTGAGAATAAAAGTATTTGTAACAGAACACAAACACCTGTTCATTTATTAGCCTATATGTAAATAGCCTATATATAAATCTGAGCATTTAGTTGAATATTATACGATTAGTTGCTGAGAAGAGTTTAATTCTGTGATGTTTTCAAACCATGAATGACTATGCAGCAGGACCCATGCAGCTGCTTGTCCTCCTTGGCAATATTTTTGCGCAATCCACCTCCGAAACCCCCCTCCTCACACATTGACTTTGTTTGATATGTTGCAGTAGACCTTTCTCAGTCAGCAGGAAATGAACTGAACATATTAAAACCATGGTCATGCCAGAAAAATCAAATTGATCGCCCTATATGGTCAACACTATCTGACACAATAATAATGTATTTATTGTTGTGATTTCCAAATGATTTTAAGGGCTACCTAATAAATATATACTGTGTTGACAGTGTATTTTTGAATAAAATGTATTAAATGTAGTAGCAGCGGGAAATTATCTATTTACATTTACTTAAAATTAATAGGAAACAATTTTTAAACTGTGATATAGGCTAGGTAAGGTGGTAATACAAAATGCAATGTATTTGATGGACTTTTTTTCTTTCTTTCAAATAGGGCTATATTGTTTTTGTTTTTTCATACGTTTAATATAGACATATATGTATTTTTAATCGGCTATTTTTGTGTAATTGCCTGAGGACAAGTGGGTTTTTATTTATTTTTTAATTTATTTTTTACAATGATTATTATAAAGTTGTGGGATATGTTCGTCCCACGTCTCAAGGATCAAAGAGCGATTTTTGCTAAATAAGAATTTTTTTAATGGACCTACATTTCCGTAATTTTATACAACCCACCTAACTGCATACTGTAATAACTTATAGGGATGCTGCTGTCAGTAAAGCAAAATATGACTAAACAAAAAAATATATATATAGAAAAGTTTCAATAAAGTCTAGCGTGAGGCAGCATTTGTGTTTATGTCGCTCGCGGTGTGCGCCACTGTTTGGATCTCCATGCGGATGTGACATTTCAGAGAGGAGCGCGACCGCCATTTTGAGTTTTACCTCAAACTGAACACCATAAACCACGGGAGCGGGTGAGAGAGGCTCTGGCCGTGACCGGGCAAAATTATCTTTTCTCGTTTGAATAGCCGCTTGGGATGCAGCTTCGGTGTACAATTGCGCGTTAGGGGTTCAGGTTAGATTCACAAATAACGGCGAGGCGAAACGCAGTCATTTTAGTGAGTTTAAACTTCTAAATTAGTGCGATTTCACATTAGAGTCTGGTTTGAATGGATAGGTTTTTCTTCGTTCCCCCCAGAAGAGGGACAATCGGAGGAGCACACGGACTGGAAATATTGCAGGGAAAGTTGTATTTAAAATAATCTTGCGGAGGCGCATGAGCTGCGCTGTTTCTTGTTTTATCACTTTTGTTAGCTCCAGCTGGGCTATCTGTGTTTTCCCCGGCTGCAGGTTGTTGTGAGTTGCAATCGCCCCGCACTTCTACGGGGGAAAGCCGGGGTTTCATTCATCGGGCCTTCGTGAAGCAGAAGCCCGAGGCCTCCGACTATCCTTACCGTTAGCATCCCTTCACCCAGGCGCCGAGATTGGGCGAATAGCGAGCAAATACGTCCGCGTTTCTCTGCCTGCTCCCCCACCGGCCTCCCTTCCTCCATCCCCGGCGCTGACAGCAGACAAGGCCGAGGTCGTCTTAGTGCAGGCCCAGCCGCAAAGGCTCGACCTGTTTACCCCACCTCCGCGTCCTCCGACTCCCCACCAGCCTCTGCCCGCGGAACCGCCATCAGACCGGACCGAGGGAGACAAAGAGCCCAAGCATCTTCCCATTCTCAAAGCCGCCAACATGAACCACCATCACACGCAGCAGCAGCAGCAGAAAGCCGGCGAGCAGCAGCTCAGCGAGCCCGAGGACATGGAGATGGAGGGTACGTCAAGGCCTTAAGCAAAAAACAAAAAGCTCACAGCCTCAAGTTTCATATAACAGCCATCATTTTCACATTAATCCCATATTTAACGAGTTAACTGTTTATTAGCAAGCCACTCTGTCGCATGTTTTGACCCCAATAGCTTGTTAGCCAGCAGCTAACGTTAACCGCTAAGTTAACGTTACCTCGCTGCATGAGGAGTTTAGCCAGTCAGCAAAAAGTCATTTTTATTTACCTTATCATATGCGTTATATTGCACTGTCACGTCGTTACTAGAAAACCCATTACGGTTGTTGTTTTTTTAAATAACAATACTGTTAATTTGCCCGTTACGTGGGGTGGATTTTGTTCTGTTACTAGCGCCTGGCTATGTGCTGCCTGCATTAACGTGGCGCAGCCCATCTTTAAGCCTTTCTATCCAATAAACTGTGTCAGATTTTCATCTGATTATGTAAGGAGCCCCTCGGCTACACCTGTAGATCCTGTGGGGAACTTTTGAAAGCACTATTGGGTTAATTGTCATAGATGAGCTAGTTATTTAGATGGGCAAATCCGCATTCGCATGCAGAATGGATAAACGTAAGTCGATAACATTGGTTTATGCTTTAAGTTGTGATTTAAAGGACGGATAAGCGTTTGTTGTTGATGCGATATGACAAGGGCATTCGCCCACTAATGTTAACTTGTTCACCATTTAATCTGGCAGTTTAATGCCCTTTCAGAACATCTGCTTGTTTAGACATTTCTGAAGAACCACTTCAATGAATGGCTTCCATCCATAGTCAGCAAATTCTCATGTTCAGTGCTAGTGGAGTCAAATAAACAGCATCACCGGATGATTGCTGGACAACAGCACCATTTTGAACTATAATTCGCTCTTGAACTAACGTTACATAGAAGATGACGAGCTGTCTGTGGGATATCTAACCTAATCGGTTAAGTTGCATTCAGTTGTTGTTACCGTGTCTTATTAATGTTACTGTTGTTGTTGTTATTGGCTTTGGATGTGAGCCGCATATGACGTTGTGCAGCTCGATTAGGGAGAGTGGATGGCAGTTTTATTTCAAGATGGTGGACTGTATTTTGCACAGATCAGACTCACGAGAGGCCTGCTTGCGTATGTGTTTGTTTATATCTGGGTGACTGCGCGGCCTGTGGCACATGATGGCTCACCAAAGGATCCGGGGTCCAAGTAATTTATTTCCTCATTAGATGGTGTTGGATGACACCGTTTGTCCCAAATATATGTCTATGCTCTGTTTGTGGAGGGTGAAACGTTAGCAGCTCGGCTAAATGTGTATGGAGGGGGAGGGTGGTAAACGAAGAGGATCGACTCAGAAACGAGTCGTTAATGTTGCGTCTTTTTCCTCAGCGACACCTTTATTATTGATAATATGGGGAGAGTACCTATGCAGTACGCTTTACATTTAGATTTAATGCGTTTTCGATATCGTAATGACTGCGTCAAGGCCAGCGCGTGGGGATCCATCGACAACGCGCGGGGATTTTCTGCTTCTTCATTGTACAACGAGTCATGCTGTGGGACCGCTCGCCATTTTTAATGATTACGGCTTGCTTGTCTGTTTTTGGCTCGTACCCTCTCGCGATCGCGGTTATTACACTTAAAGGGCCATAGGACATCGATGTGATATATTTACTCTTTATTTCAGACTCTAAATTTTGCGCTGTGTTCCATCAAAGTTCTGCAGTGCACGTGTGGGGGCGTTACTGATGCTGCTGTCCAGAGACCCGCACTGTTTTGAGACCTTTCAACACATGAGCATATTTCACAGCTCACGAAGGCCTACGAATGCGCAAATTAAACGCAATTTGCCACTAAGAAGCATGCAGGTTGGCCTGTTTTTAGTCTCACTTATTCAGGCCTCATTAAACAACAAAACGTCTTGAAGAGAACCTGTTTGTTTAGTCTTGCATGCTCTTGATGCAGCAAAGGTTGTTGTTGCATTCAAATTTGTCTGAAAAAAATTTGTGTAGCCTTTATTTTTGGGAAATCTTGAAGCCAAACTGTAGCCTAATGGGCAAATAAAATTGTCATTATAGCAATGGCTTTCTTCTCCGCGATGTTTGAAGTTTATGGCCTGCCCAAGTCAGAAAAATGGGTATCAGATCTCAGTTCTTGTAAATGACTTGAGAGGCCATTCATGTCTAATTTCTGATTAGGAAATTCGTATTTATGATAATTCTGAAAGCATGTGAAGGCAGCACATGTCCTCCTAGGAAGTCATGTTTACATTGTATTAGATGTGATTTGAGCACACCTGACAAACAAAAATACAAGAAGCAAGTGTTTTTTTAAACTCTACTTCCAAATGATCAATGCGCATTGCGTGTGTGTGCTTGGTTTTAATTATATTGGAAGTAGTTATACAGTACTGTTGTTTTTTCATTTTATCAAGTCAATAAACACTACAGCCGTTGTATCCAACTCAAACTCAGATCTCCCACTTGTAATTACAACATTGTGGTTGTGTTCCTATGCTTTCAAATTGTAAATATGATCTTTCCAACATGACTTGAATGCACCATCTATACACATCTTATTGACTACCATAAAATGTCACAAATGAAATAGGACATCGATGTGATATTTTTACTTTTTATTTCAGACGCTAAATTTTGCGCTGTGTTCCATCAAAGTTCTGCAGTGCACGTGTGGAGGCGTTACTGATGCTGCTGTCTTTTAATTAAAAAAGATGTCTCCAGCAGTGTTTTAGAGTCCTCAATGGTTACAGATGCAAATTTAGTTTAGTCACTAGCAGTTCTCAGTGGTTTTTAAAAAATTGTGGCTTTGCATTTTTTTTTTTTTTTTTTTGGGTGCATTTGTACCTGTACCATAATAAGAGTGAGCTTGCAAGAAATTTTATGGGCCTGGTGCATTTTACATTAGCATTAATTGACGGGAATTTCCGTTTCCGTTTTCTTTCAGCTGGGACCCAGATGATCCTCCAAGAATTCCCCAAAATCCAGTCATCAATGGGAACGTGGCTATGGCTGACGGACACAACAACACAGAGGAGGACATGGAGGATGGTAAGGAACAATGAAGCTCAGCACCATGCATGATAATACTTTATTTTTTACGTGATTGTTTTTAATATCTCAAGTTATGAATGGAAGTAAATCTGCAGCTCTAACTGTTTATTTCAACACGTCATAACAGACACAAGCTGGCGCTCTGAAGCAACTTTCCGCTTTGTGGTGGAGCGCTTTAGCAGGCTGAGTGAGTCTGTGCTCAGCCCACCCTGCTTTGTGAGAAATCTGCCCTGGAAGATCATGGTGATGCCCCGGTTTTACCCAGACAGACCTCACCAGAAGAGCGTTGGATTCTTCCTTCAGTGCAATGCTGAGTCTGACTCTACGTAAGCAATCACCACCATTACACAAAAAAAGTGGACAATCATTAAGTCCATTAATTCAAGGACATCAGTAAAATCTCTATACTAGAAAATGTAACGTTAATATATTTAGGCTTTTAAACCTTTTTTTATTTGGGATTAGTTCTCCCTCACTTAAAGCAGCTTATTTTTGTTTTTTAAGCGAGCCTAATTTAATTAACCAATTCCTCCTCGTATGTAGTTCCTGGTCATGCCATGCTCAAGCCATGCTCAAAATAATCAACTACAAAGATGATGAGAAATCCTTCAGCCGCCGCATTAGTCACCTCTTCTTCCACAAGGAAAATGACTGGGGCTTTTCTAACTTCATGTCATGGAGTGTAAGTAAACAGGGTTTTTTTTTTATTAGCGTCTCTGAGCTGGTGTTGGAGGAGAGCAGAGCTAAAAAGCTGATGTTAAAGTGATGTTTTGATTTCAGGATGTGACTGATCCTGAACGGGGCTTTGTGGAGGATGATAAGGTCACTTTTGAGGTCTACGTTCAAGCCGATGCACCTCACGGTGTGGCGTAAGTCATTTCTCGTGACGTTTTCAATGTTGACAAGCTTTTACGACGATAGCTGATGTCCCTGTTTTACTTACAGCTGGGATTCAAAGAAACATACTGGTTACGTGGGGTTGAAGAATCAAGGAGCCACATGTTACATGAATAGCTTACTACAGACTCTCTTCTTCACAAACCAGCTTCGGCGGGTGAGACGTCTGCCTTTCATTAATATCACAATCAGAAGGTGTTTTTGTTTTTTTGCAATATTCTTACAGAATGCAGTATGTGTAACATAATTAGATGTTTGCTTGGGATGTGCATAAGTTAAATGACTATTAAAAACAGTATTCCTACTTTGCAATTGATTTCCATTGCCTGCTGTAAGCTCCAGTGGAATACAGCCAATTTTCCTATTGCATCCCTCACCTAACTGAAGTAGATGCATTATGTTGAGGAGATGATGCAGTCTGCTTTCAGGAGTCTTATTGGTAATGTTTGTTTCTTATTAGAGTCATACATCTCACCGGATGGGGATTCACTTTATATCGGAAAGAAAATGTGAAGCAATAAGAGAAAATATTGATTATCAGAGCCAGTATCACTTTGTCCCTTT